AAGGTGGTTCTGCACCAGGTGTGGAAGGAACATCACATCCACCTTCACTTTCTGGGCTTCTACGTGCTGGACAGTGACAAGATGTCAACAAAGTCACACGGGCTGCTGGGTATGGAATGTTCAAGCTTCATGCTGTTCAGGGCAGAGGGAAAAGCCATGTGAAAGGCCATCCTAGCCTCTCCAAGCCCGGCACACAGCACCCCCCTCAGCCTCTGCCTTAACCCTGGAAGGCCAGTGGCCATGCTACCTGGGGCGATGGCAGGGGCTGACAGAGAAAATGTGTTTCTTCCCAGGACAATTCTTCCGCCCCCTTGCTTTTCAAGTGTCTGACATCAACCCAGGCAATGACCCCTCCAAGATACATGCCACAATGCTGGTGAAGAAACATCGGCTGGCAGTCACCAGGTGCGGGGACCCATCTGACATCCTCACCCTGCCCACTAACAAGCCAGGAGGAAAGAGCCCTCTGTGCCCACACACATTGGTCCAGCAGGGTGGTCTTCTTAGTTTTCCCTCATTTCCCTCTGGGGTCTTGGCCCCCTCGAGGCCCCTCCGAATCAGGGAAAGGGCAAACTCAGCACCCTAGAAGGAGTAACCATGCAACCTCATTCTTGGCCAGAGAATTATGGAATTGGCAACATCACACCCTTTTTCAACCTTGGTCCATGAGCGTAGCAGCCATCTCGCCTACCCTGTGTATCACAGCATCTGTCTCCCTTCTCCAGGGGCTACCAGAAAGACTACAGGAAGGATGTCCATAATGGCACACAGGTGGGCTGCTGGTTCGTCCACAACAATGGCCAAGGGGTGATTGATGGGGTCCACAGCGACTACATCGTCTCTGACCTGTTCTGAGTGGCTGGCCCAGCTGGCCTGGCATCTGGAGGAGGGGCACAGAGCCAGGCCTGAGGGAGGGCTGTGACAATGGAGGACACGGTGGAAACCAGACCGCTGCCAGCCTGTGCATGCCTCTCTCGGGCCCTGCTCTGGGGAACACCATCCGGGACCTGAGGCAGCTCAAAGGAAGGACTGGCTCCTAGGAAAGCAAGATCCTGGGCCTCCCCAGCAATGTGGCTGAGGGACAGGGCTGGTTGGCGTCACAGTTTGGCAAGTCAAATGTATGAGGAAAAAATAAATAAAAAATTGACTCTGGAACAGAGTCTCTGAGAAGCTGAGAAGGGCTGAGTGCATTTCAGAGGCCAAAAGGGTCATGAGGAAAGTCTGGTCCTTGCTCAGGAGCTCCTGTCAGGCCCTTCAGGCCTGGAGCTCCTTCTGTGACTCAGAAGCAGAGAGTCCTCCAGGGCTGGCACAGCCTGTAGTGGATGGTAGATGCCATCCATCCACTCAATTACCCACTATCCACCCATCCATCCATCCGTCCATCCATCCATCCATCCATCTATCCATTCATCCATCCATCCATCCACCCACCCACTCACTCACCCACTGTTCATCCATCCATCCACTACCCATTTGTTCATCAGATAAACCCAACATTCTGGGCTAGCATCTGGGGCACAAAGCTTATTGATCCAGTTCCTGTGAGCAGGGGTGCCTCAAGTTTGCTTTCAGCTGGGCTGGGGATCCTTGGAATCCTCCAATCATACCCCACAAAGTCCTGAGTGGGGTGGGGGTCAGACCAGTTCCTGGACTAGGGGCTCTGAGAGCCTCTCCCACCTGAATAACTGTAACTGCCCCTTCCTGGATCTCCCTGCTTCCAGAGAGAGCTTTCCACAGCAGAACCAATCATCTCCCTGCCCACACCCTGTCAATGACATCTCCCTCCCATTGCTCTTGGGACAAAGATAAAAGTCCTTCCTATGGCTTCTCAGCTTTATCACCTCCATGAACCAGGCATTTCCCCTTACTTTCTGGGTTCCAGACACACACACTGCTTCCAGTTCTGCAAACATAACCCCTCCTGCCCCAGATTCTTTGCCTCTGCTGCTCTCTCTGCCTGCAGGGCTAAGAGCATGCTGGATAGACGGTAGCCCTTTGAAGGGAACAGTGGGCAGCTTTGTTCCATGGCACAGCAAGGGACACAATAAGGCCAGAGGAGGCTGGCTTCTGATTGGGAAGGATCAGGAATGCCACTGGGGGTGGGGATGGGATCTGGTCATGGGCCACAAGGAGGTTTTCCTACCTCCCACTCCAGGGGCCCCTCTGGATTTCCTAGGGACACCAGACTGGGGTCCTGGAGAGGGTATGGTGGGCAGTCCAGGAGGAAACTTTTCTCATCAGAGGAGTCCCCCTGCCCCCAGGCATCTATGAGATGTGGCCTGGCGCTGCTGCTCCTCTAGGGAGAGGGCCACGTGAGACACAGCTCCAGAGTAAACATGGCAGGTGTGCAGGCTGGGCTGGCAAAAAGGGCCCAGCCTGGGAAAGGACATTCTCAAGTAGGCAAGCCCTGCCACCCATTCAGTCCCAGGTCGGCTGAGAAGCCTGTAGCTTTAAAGCACTCATACTGAGGTCAGTTTTCATATCTGTGAAATGGGGAGAAAGATCCTGCCAGATGGAGGGTGTGAAGAGGCATCGTCATATGGTTTCTGGTCCTCCTGAAGTACCTGGTTTGTCCTGCCACTCAGCTAGCCGCCTAGCCTGGCAGGTTGGCAGCAAGGCAGAGGAGGCCCCAGCCCAAATCTGCCCCTTCCCCTCCCTCAACACAGTCAGGGAGGCCCTCCTTGCAGGCCAATTCCAGGCAGATTCTGTCCTCAACCCAGTCCTCTATGGCTCCCTGGCTTTCAGGATAGAAACCATGCCCCATGGCAAGGTGCACCAGCCAGTGCTGGCCTGGCCCTGCTTCTCCACCTCTCCAACTGGCTCCTCACCCCATGCTTCCCTTCCCCTACCCTGAACTCACTGCACAATGACCCTGAACTCAATGCACAATGTCCTGGCTCTCGGCCCAGTGTCCTTGTCCTCCTTTTCTACTGGGCTGACTTCTCTTTATTCGTCAAAATTCAGCCCCAGCCACGCCACTTTCTAGGAAGGTTCCCGATATTCCCCAGGTGGAACAAGGTGACTCCTTCTGGGATCCTTGCAGCACCTAGTCGTTCCTGGGTGGCAGCTGTCACATAGGCACTGTCTGTCGTGGTGGCTACAGCACTCTGCCCAGGGCCTGGCCCAAGGAGGTGCTGGAACGCACTCAGTGAACAAAACAATGAAGGGCATGGACCTACTGCCAATTGTTCACAGAAGGCACCTGCCCTGCTGCTGGGCCAGAGAGTCACCCAGGACTCCTCTGCTGTTTACAAACCCCACAGCCCAGAGCAGGCGGTGGTGTCCCAGAGGGGTGAGCTGGGCGTGGGCCCGTCTCTCATCTTGGTAGGTGTGTCAGAGCTGGCCTCACAGGAAGGTGGTGGGAGACACCAAGGCGGCTCCCCCGTCTCACAGCAACAGCCTGAGACCCTGCCAGCCAACCAGGCAGGTGGAGAGGCAGCTGGAGTGTGTCTGTGTGTTCGGCAAACCTGCTGCTGGAGCCCCGCTACGGGCCTCTCCTCTGACCCCTCCAGAAAGACTCACTCAGTTAACACCCTGTAGAGCTCAAGAGCTGGGAAAAGAGCTTTTCCCTGCTGACCTGGTTTGCTTCCTCTTAACCAGCAAATGAGCTCATTTTCTGCTTTCCTCTGGCTGCGGGGAAGCTCAGAGCAAAGTTCTGTGCTGCAGCTTCCCCATGAGGGTGTCACAGATCCAATGCTCTTCCTGCTTGCCTCTTCTCTTATTCCCATGGGTTTTGTTTAAAAAAATTTTTTTAAATCCTCACCCAAGGAGATGTTTAATTTATGTATTTATTCAATTATTTATGTATTTATTTATTTTTAGACAGAGACGAAAGGGGACAGAAAGAGAAATATCGATGTGAGAGAGAAACATCAATGGATTGCCTCCTGCATGCGCTCCAACTATGGATCAAAGCCACAACCCAGATATGTGCTCTGACCTGGGATCGAACCTGCAACTTTTGGGTGTACAGGGTGATGCTCCAACCAACTGAGCCACCTGGGCTATAACTGTTTTTTAAGTGTGCTCTGACTATGCAGGAATTGGGTGGAATCTTGGGGGTGACTATCCCTGGGGCATGGATTGGAGAGGATTTAGAGCTGGGGGCTGGGTCACCTCCACGGGACAGATGCTTCCCTCCTGGGATGAGGGCCTCTCTCTGTCTCCTGTGTTCCAGGGCTAGCTCCTTTCCAGGTGGTGAGCACAGGTGTGAAAATCAAATTGCATCATGCAAGTCCCATGTGAAAGGTGCCCAAAAGCTCGCTGAGAACTTCTACCCAGTTCACTTTTTTAATGGAGGTAGGAAGAGTCAAAACTGGTTTTCATGGTCTTAGGTGGTTTGGCTCAGTGGATAGAGTATCGACCTGAGAACTAAAGGTCCTGGCTTCAATTCCAGTCACGGGTACGTACCTCGGTTACAGGCTTGACTCCTGGCCCCAGTAAGGGCAGATGCAGGTGGCAACCAATCAATGTTTCTCTGTCTCTCCCCTTCCCTTCCACTCTCTCTAAATATCAATGGAAAAACATCCTTGGATGAGGATTAACAAATAAAATAATAAAATGAAATAAAAAATAAAAACTGGTTTTCATGGACTGAAACTGAACCTCTGCTCCCAGAGGGTGTTTTCTGGCCCTGGGCCCCAAGCTCGGGTCTGGAGTGACATATACAGGGGTGGTTCAATCTTTCTAAATCTTAGTTTCCACCTTATGAAATGAAGGGAGTGTACCAAAAGCTCTTCAGGGACTTACTGGCCACAGGCCCTCAGGGCTGATTGTGCGAGATGCCAATGTCACATGATGCTAAGTGTTCAGGAGGAGGCTCTGCAGCCCTGGGGTTTGACTGGATGGAACCAGAGAAGCCCACTCCATGAGTTTAAACTACCTGCCTTTATTTGTAATAAGTGGAACTCCCCTCCCCATCATGGTTGAGACCCCACAGGTGGCTGTGGTCACAGGAAGACAGCCATCTTTACACAGTGCGGGGCATGGGGTGATGGGCGGCCATCAGAATCAGAGCTCGATAGACCAGCAGGAAATCTCTGTTTCCAGGGTCCCCTCTTGGTAATCCAGTTGGAGCTTTCTGGGATGGAGAGACAGACATACAGACAGACAGACAGACAGACAGACGGTTAGGAAATCTCAGGTGTCTTGGGAAGAGAGGGAGAGTGCTGGGTCGGGCATGGAGATTCAGGGCCCCTTAGAATCCCCTACAGCACAGGCTGACAAGGCCCAGTCTCCCAAGGGCACCCAGTTGTCCAGGGCTCTGAGACTTCAGGGAGTTTGCTAATGCCCCCAACTCACCCTTAGTGATCTCTGGCTGGGGTGTTTTCTGTGGGTCTGAGTTGACCATTTTGGTGGGGTCACACTGAGAGCTGGGTCAGACATGTCTAAAGCATCAACTTTTCACCCGACTATCTCTCATTCCCAGGCTCGGACAGGGGAGTGGAGGCCCCAGGGACCAGCTCTCAGCCTCCTAGTCCCACCCCTGGCCTGTTTGCGTGGAGTCACCTGGTGGCATTGAACTCAAACCCCCGAGTCCTCAGTGTTCGCTTGCTGTCATCTGTTGCATCTGGGGGCCCCCAGGCAATGCCCTGGTAAAAGCGGCCTGAGAGACAAAGGGTGGGTCAGTGAGGGATAAAGACACGGGGACTGGGAGACACAGGTACTGCCTGTTCCCAGGCAGAGCTGGATCTGAGGATGCCCTGAGCCAGGGTCATGGGCAGCATACCAAGGAGGCCGTCGACGTGGCTGGAGAAGCGGTCAGTGTCCCGCAGGAGCAGCCGAAGCCCCTGCCCAGGGCCGTCCCAGGACAGCAGGCCGATGGTCACTTTGTCTGGGCTGCTGAGCAGCAGGAGCCCCGCCTTGTCCATGGTCATCTTGAGGCTGTGGGGAAACTAGGCTCCTGAGAGCAAGGTAGGCATGGACACACCCTCAGGGGACCCTGGCAGTTGGCGTGGGATGGGTGGGGGAATCCAGCTGTGGCCTTGAGTGGGAAGTCCATTACACATTCTCCTTAGCAACTGGGACCAACCTGAAGTTAATAATATCCGGTGATCCCAGCATTTATAAAACAAAATAACAGTTCCTTTCCCTGTTTTCTTAGATTTCCTTCCCCTCAAATTCGTTTGATATGATTCCCGGGTTATCGGACACACGCTGCTGGTGCCAGATTCTCTTCATGATCAGTGTTTAATTGTAGGTTTAACATCTAGAAGGGCAAGTCTACTCTGATTCTATGCCCTTCTTTTTTACTTAAAATAATCTCTGATGTCTTACCTTTTTGGTTTTCTTGGGAATGTTAGGCTCCTTAGAGCACATTGAACAAGACCCTGCTGGTGCTCTGAGTGACCTTAATGGACCTGCACTAAGTTCACACAGGCTCCGAGGGACTCACTACAGGAGCTGTGGTCTGACATTCTTCACGGAGATCTTCTGTAGCTCCTGAAAGTGTGTGCACCCTGTCGCTATGATTAAGAGGAGCACTTTATTCATCTTCTGGTGCGCAAGTACTTATCAAGTAACAGGAAACTTTAAGATCTGGCATGAAATGGGCGATTTTCAGGTGAGCCCCTCAGGTTTTCTAGGAGCTCACTCATTTGTCAGGTGGAAACCAGTCTCTACTGAGGGGCTCAGTTAGGGGCGTGGACGAGGCTCTTTGTACTCAGCACAGGCTGGGACTAGGAGGGTGGTCTCCCAGAGGGCCCAAGCCTCGGCCCGCTCCAGGCCCCTCGTGACATCTGGACCTGCAGAGCTGCCTCTGGAAGGCTCGATGGTGAGGCAGCCCCACCCAGAAGAGGTCACCATCTACTTCCCTTACCTGCCAGCGCCAGGTGTTTGATGGACAGTCTCTCCCCATCAGAGCTTCAGGAGTGTGCTAAGACTGACTTTCATAACCTCCCCCTGGTGGACAGTGCCTTCCAACTTCTCACTGCTGTCATCATTCCCTCACCACGGAGACAGCTGCCCTCCGGCATGCCCTGTGGGCACCACCCCTTCTAATGAGCAAAGTGCTGCCCTGCCACATTCCCTCATTGGGTCTCCCCTCAGCCTCTAACTCAGGCTTGGAGTGATTCTCCCCAGGCATGAGTGAGGAAACTGAGGCTAAGAGGGTCTAAGCAGCCTGCCCAGGGTCAGTCACACACAATTAGCAGCAGTGTGGCTCCAAGCCACTGTCCCCTGCACGGGAAAATGACCTGGGTTAGGTGTGGCCATGCCAGGGGCCAAGCCCACATCTGGTCCCCCGGAAGTGCCAGGCCACCCAGACCTGCATATGTGGTGGCCAATGAAAGGTGTGGGTGGATGTATGAGTGCAAGGGTCAGTGTTCAGGGGAATGACCGTGTGTGAGAAGCCAGGTCCCCAGGACAACTGCTGGTGCCCCCAGAGAAAAAGAGGTATGGCTCTGCCCAACCAGTGGGGGCGGCCCACTGCAGAGGACTCGAGCCCAGCCCAAGCACTTCATCCCCAAGCCTGTGGCCTCAGGCCACCGGTCAGCACTGGCACTGGCTAACGTAGCCTGAGAGGTCATTGCTGGTACCCAGCCTGAAGCTTACCCAGGCATCACCACGAACAGCGTCTCCTTCCATTTGTACTGAGAGCTTCTTCGGTCCCTAGTCACTACCACGTGCTCAGGGGACACGTGGACCAGCAGCTGGGGATTCTTGAAAGTCACCTCGATCCATGAGAACTGGGCCTTCTCCATGTCATACTCGCCAATCATCTCGAGACCTGAGAGAGCCGGGAGCAGAGGTCAGAGGCATGGCCCTCTGTGATTCCGTCCCTGAGAACTGTCCTTCACCAACCCCCTCCTCACTGCCCTTTCCCAGCATTCCCTCACACTGGAGTCTGGTTTCCACAATCTTTTCTCTCCTCCCTTGGTTGCATTTGACTTTGGAAGCACCACAAATCCTCAGTGATGGACACTTTCAGGTGAGCCCTCTGAGAAGGGCAATCGTGTCTGAAGTCCATGAACATTGATAAAGCGCATTAGTTGCGGGGCCCTGAGCGAGGTGCCATGGCCAAGAGTGAGATGGCAAATCATTGGTCTCCGCCCTCAGGGAGCAAACAGACTCTAGGCCTGGTGTGTGGAGGTGGGAAATCGTGTGTGAGCATCCCTGAGTGCTGTATGTCCCCACGTCTGACTTGACACCTCAGCTCAACCAGTACGACCCTTCTGGGGGGTGGGGAGCAGGTCTGGTCAGCACACCTCCCTCCTCTTGCCATTCGTCTCCTCCAGACTCTCTATGGTCCCACTACTATCTTTCAGGGCTCTGGGCTTCTGCCAACCTCTGCCTCTCCCTAGTAAACCCCACTTGTCTGCCAAGGCCCAGTCACTCCTGTGTGACCCTGTGCAGCCTCATATGCCCCTCAAACAGCCCTGGCCTCCTCTCCTGGGCTTCTGCCTCTAGGCTGCTTTAGGCACTGACTGCAGAGGGTTTCTCTGGAAGGTGACTGCTCAGGGCCTCACCTTGGTCAGGGTCTGAGAGCAGGAGTAATAATGGCCCACGGGTGCTCTTGATGTCCACACAGAGCTGGTCCACGCTCTGCCCAGGCAGAGGCAGGATGAAGGTCGGAGCCTGGATGGGGGCTGGGGCAGCAGATGCGGTTCTTGGGGCAGGTAGAACATCTGGAGGGCAGCGACGGGAAGGGGGGCTGAGGGGGGCAGGCACCTACTTGGTGGTGGGGCTGTTGGGTTTGTTTCTGAAAGAAAAAGTCTTTGTTTAGGCATCCCCTTCCTCACAGTTGGAGGCAGGGGGAGTTGAAGGATACGATCGTGTATAAATGTGGCCAGGGTTCCTTCTCCACTTCAACATTGAGAAACATGTAACAGGCTCCTAGAGATCCCCAGGGCTCCCCCATCCCAGGGTCTTCCTGCTATAGGGCGGTTATCTACTTCAGGGAATCTGGTCTGGGGACGTACCTTCCATTGTTTCATCCAGGTGATCAACCCCCATAGTGGGACCAGAGGAGGAGGAAGATGCTAGTACAGGATTTGCCAGAAACAGAAAGGGAGAAGGCAGTCAGGATTCAGCGCAATCAGCACGCCCTCCAGCCACCACTGCCACCTGCACCTGCCAAGCTCCAGCCCTGCGACCCCTCCCCATTCACCCAACCTTGGAGAGCACACTTTTAGGAAAAACTGAGGAGACAGGGTCCAGCCTGGTGTTGGGCTGGGTCTGAATCCAGACTGGAGATCAGAGACAGCTCATGGGGCCACTCATGGCTTGGGGAATGGTGGGAGCCTTCCCTTTCTAGAAGGTTCCATTCTGAGCCAGCCTGCAGAATGTCATGAGTCTGGTTCAGTGAAACTAAATGACACACTGCTTCATGTCAAGACCACAGCAACTCTGCCTGGTCGGTGCCCAGCCCTGTGCAGGGTGCTTGCCCTCATCCAGTTCTACAGGCAGGATGACCATCCCCTTGGGGAAACGAGGCCTCCGAGGTCAGAAGTGGCTCACCCATCCCACTCGGTAGCCTCGGATCCGGATTTCTCTCAGACGTGAGCTCAACATCAGAAGGAATAGGAAATCCAGGTGATGCAGATCTCCAGCGGGCACGTCATGAAATCCAGCATACGAGCTAAATCCACCTTTAGAAAAATTGACACCTGCAGTCTTGGCTCAAGCAGAGTCATGGGTCCCCACCACCAGGGCTCTGGGACCCAACTGGGAGACGCATGTACAGAGGGCAGATGGCTCCCTTCCCCACACCCACCACTCTGAGAGCCTCTCCCCCTTCAGCCAGGAGAAATTCAAGCTGGAAAAGGAACCCTTCTTGAATTCCTCCCACCCTGCTGGGATATCAGTCACTTCCAACTACCTTGTCCTCTGAAGTTTCTTCTGCCACTAACAAAAGGTCCTGCATAGCTGCCTCCTCATCAGACACACCTGAACTTGAGTCCCAGCCCTGCCACCAGCCAGGTGAGCCAAGCAAGCCACTCACCCACAGTCAGGGCAGAGCCCAGCCTGTGGCCAAGGTCAAGGTTCTGTCAATCCCCCCTCCCACCACCGCTGCTCCTCTGCTACCTGCTCCTTTGATCATTGAGTGTCCCATGGCTCCATATCTGAAGACATCATAACCTGGAAATCAGAGAGACCTGGGTGTGCATCCAACTGGATGGGGAATGTGCCCCTAGAGCCCAGGACAGCCAATATCTGAACGAACAGGTGACTAAATGCACCAACGTGCTTGGGCAGACAATGCCCCTCCTGGCAGCAGGCTGGGCTGGAGACGCCCTGGCCAGCAACTTTGTGGGACTGGGGTCTGAGGTCCTGAATCAGCCACCTGTCATCAACGGCAGCCTTTGACGGTATTAGGCCCTTACCTGAGGCAACCTTTCCTGGATAAAACAAAAAAAGAAGAGAGAGAAAGAAAGTGAGTGAGAGAGGGAGAGAGAGAGAAAGAAAGAGAGAGAGAGAGAGAGAGAGAGAGAGAGAGAGAGAGAGAGAGATACTATTGGGTAGTTTGGTACGTTTGAAGTGCTTATTTAACCTGCTTCCCCACCCCAGCACCACAGAGCTGCAGTGCATATGGGAGGGTCGGGAGACCTGGCCTGTTTCCTCATCAATGAAATGGGATGCATCTCCTGGGGGTCCTGGGAGTCTGTGTGGCCGGGTTAGGGTCTCGGTCAGGACGTGGGGGAGGGGCTGGGGGGAGAGACTGGGTCAAAACTCTGTTGCCACAGAGCTAGGAGCCCACTGTCACACCCACCATTTTCCACGGGCTTCTCAGCAACTTGAGACTGTTCTTGGCCTTCAGGTTTGGTGACCACCATGGACGTGAGGGGGGTGACAAAGCTATAGTTGAGCGACAAGCCCAGAGCTTGGGTCTCCAGGGCCTGCTTATCAGCATCGGATGCGGAAACCCTGCAGGTAGAGAGCATCAGAGGGCCAGCAGGTCCTGGATGCCTAGCTCCATTCTCCCTCCCTTCCAGACCCTTGGGGGTGGAGCCGGGGTCCCTACTGGGAGAGTCTGGAGCTCAGACACCACTCCATGACCCCCCTCTCTCCATACCTAGGTGATGCCCAGGCCACCTGTGCTGTCCCACCCATGAGGAGCTTGGGGAGACACTGAGGCCGTGTGTGGCCGCCCCAGCAGGCCCTCGGGGGTGCAGGCCACCCACATTCGCTCCAGCAGTTGGTGGATGGTCAGGTATGCCCAGAGTCTCTCCATGAAGCCGTGGAAGATGTACTTGGGCTTTTGAAACTCCTCTTCCTGCTTTGCCACCTGGAACTCCATTTGGAAGGTGATGTTCTCCGTGGTCTGGAAAGAGGGGCCCAGCCAGGCGGCAGCAGTGAGGGCCTGCCACCCTTACCTGGCCTGCCGCTTCCCAGCACTTCCATGAGAAACCTAGTTGGGACTGGGCAGGTCCTACGGATTGGCTGTGAGGACTGCATTCCCTTCGAGTAGGTAGGGAGCAGGGAGGGAGTTCAGGGGCGTAAGGGGCTCAGCCACAGAGCCTCCAAGGATGAGAAGGAGGTGGAGAGAAAAGGTAGAAACTATCACAGGTGCAATGCCAGGAACTAAGATCACATGCAGCTTTTGGGAGGAAGGATAATGAGGACGGGATCTGGACCCCAGGCCAGTGCAGAAGCAGCAGCAAATGTGTTTAAAGCAGAAAGGGTCCCAAGACGGCCCACCCCAAAGATGGACACTCTGGGGACAGAGACAAGTGCCTTCCCCAGCAGTCATGGCAGAGTACGAAAGAGGGCTCAGGCCTTGATAGGGTTTGGGGCCCCATGTACCCCATTAGGCTGCCCTGACCAAGCTAGTGCCCCCTGCTGGGACCAGGCACTGTCCAGTGGTGACAGCAAGGCATGTGCCCAAGTTTCAGGCGGACTGCTGCTTCCTTCCCCGGGGTGGGGCCTTCTGCCCTCAGGCTGACCTGGCCAGCAGCCTGGGAAGTGGGGCCTGTGGGCAGAGGAACTGCAGGCTTTCCTGTCACCATTCCCCGGCGGCCAAAAGCCTTTGCTATGTGGATCAGACCCCATCCCCGCAGCTGGAGACACCCTCCCCTGTCTCTCACCAGAGCCGGGCCTCCCACACCTTTGTCACCTGCAGGGCGCCTGCACAAATGTCCTGTCCACCTGCACAAATGTCCTGTCCACCTGCACAGCTATCCTGTCCACCTGCACAAATGTCCTGTCCACCTGCACAAATGTCCTGTCCACCTGCACAAATGTCCTGTCCACCTGCACAAATGTCCTGTCCACCTGCACAAATGTCCTGCCCACATGCACAGCTATCTATTGGAAGGTTTTCCTTAAGTGAAAGTTAAACAGACTAACACTCTTCACTCGGCCTTGTCCCCAGCAAGACTACCAGGGAGATGCTCGGTCTGGGGTGGGAGTTCTATTTCTCAGAAGATACATTAGGATAAATACGTGATTACTCAAACAAAGACATGTCACCCCCTTATCACCCTGGGTTCCGCACTTTGGGAACTCCCAGCTTCCAGGATAGCACCAGCAGCTAACATGAACGTAGCCCCTCTGAATGCCTGATGCAGCCACCCTTCCACGCCAGGATGGCTGGCCACACTCACCAGCTGCCCGCTGACCGTGGCTGAGAGCACATCAGGGCTCTGGGCCCGGAGCTTCCCGGCCACTACCATCTCGGAGCCCTTGAAGAACAGCGGGAAGTTGTCCTGCGTGACCTCCTCCACGGCATTGCCTGGGTACTCGAAGGTCACTGTGGTCAGCAGGGGGTTGGCCACCTCCTGGTAGAAGTCCTGCAGAGTGGGGTGTGTCATGGGGGCCGGGCAAGGTGGTCCCTGACTCTCCCAGGCCTCAGGGGTAGGCTGGCACCTGCAGCTGCAGGGCGGAGTCCGAGTCCTCGTAGATGCGCCTAGCCAGGCCGCCGTTGTCCAGCGCCAGCTTCTCCAGGAAGGCGTAGCTGACGTCGAAGCCAAAGCCCAGGCAGAAGAGGCTGTACTGACCGCGTACGGCCTCCTGCACATTCTTCTGGATCTTCCTGGGGTTGGTCTCGCCTGGACCCAGTGTTTGGGGACAAGGGTCAGAAAACAGGGATTTGCTCAGGGGATATTTTTGGAATCTCAGATCCTGAGAGGCCTCAGGGATTCCCTCCCTTCCCCAGGCCCCACAGTAAGCCAGGATGTAGCCCCAGCGATGCCCTCTGGGCAGTGTGCCCTGGAGTTGCTGCTGTGCCCTCACCCACAGTGGGGTCGCCATCAGTGAGGAGGAGGAGGAGGGAGACGCTCCCTGGGGGCAGCTGCTCCTCCCGGGTGGCTATGTCCATCAGCAGCACAGCCAACATCATTGCATCGTTGATATTGGTTCCTGAGGGACACACAATCTCAGGATGGCTCTCAGGCGGAGCTCGTGCCCGGAAGCCCCTAACCTGCAGGGCTGCCTGGCGCTCACCTCCCTGGGCCTGGATGCTGTTAGCATATTTCTTGGCCTCCTCCACATTCTGGGTCGAAGCTGGCACCAGCGATGGCTTCCACTTGGTTGCTTCACTGCTGAAGCTAATGAGGTTGAAGTGGTCTTCCGGCCTGAGGTCCTCTAGGATCTTGATGAGGGCTTCCCGAGTCTGGTCAGGGGAAGGGGAAACAAGGTGTGTGTCTCAGTGGGACCTCCTTGGGGGTTCCTGTGCCCTTGGGCTGCACCCCCACGCCCACACTTGCAGTGGGAACATGGTGAATGCTCCAGGGGCAGGACCGGCTCCAACCTGGGACTCTGGCAGCCTCCTACCCAGGAAGATGGAGGAGGGAGGGTCTGCCTGCTAGACCAGAGCTGACAGTAGGGGCATCTGAGAGTTTTCAGGGCCCTACCCTGGCCTGTGGTACCCACCTGCTGGATTTTCCTGCCCCTCATGGAGCCACTCGTGTCGATGACGAAGATCACATTCTTGGGTATCGTGGAGAGGCCCTCGGGGGCAAAGTAGTGCACAAAGTAGCCATTCTCGATCTATGACCAGAGTGAGACACACCCCAGGTGAGATGAGAGCTACAGCCTGCCCTGCCCCACCCCACCTCCTTACCCCAAATCCCCGGGTCCCCATCCTCTCCTCCTTTTAAGCTCCTCTGTCACAGTCCCACTGATAACCTCCCCAAATCCTCGTCATCTCTTTTTTTACTCTTTATTGTTGAAAGTATTACATATGTCCCTTTTTTTCCCCATTGACCTCTTCTAGTCTGCCACCCGCTCCAGTCCTTCACCACCCTATTGTCTGTGTCCATGGGTTATGCATATATGCACACAAGTCTTTCGGTTGATCTCCTCCCACTCACACAGTGTAGCTACTCTTTTGGTGAAATATTCCCGGCTATGCATGACCCCCTAGAACTCTACTCCACTTTGCCTCCTATTTGTTTGAATATCTGAGGTGGTTTAGAGGTAATAAACCTTCCTTAGCTGATGAAACCCCCCTCCCTCCTGCCCCCCAACCCTCCCTGGCCTTCCCGCTGCAGTTTGACAATCAGTTTGAGGCAGCTCTGCCTCTGTATCTATTATTGTTCAAAAGTTTGTAATGGTCTTTATTATCCATGAATGAGTGAGATCATGTGGTATTTTTCCTTCATTGACTGGCTTATTTCACTTAGCATAATGCTCTCCAGTTCCATCCATATGCATACAAGTCTTTTGGTTGATCTCCTCCCACTCACCCAGTGTAGCTACTCTTTTGCTGAAACATTCCCGGCTATGCATGACCCCCTAGAACTCTACTCCACTTTGCTTCCTATTTGTTTGAATATCTGAGGCGGTTTAGAGGTAATAAACCTTCCTTAGCAGATGAAACTTTCTGCCTCTGAAAGGGAATTCTATCAGGGACACCATAACTAAACCGCATAATTTCTGTCTGTTGCCTTCGGTGCACACTGACTGGCAGGAGCAGTTTTTTTGCCTTTTCTTCGGCAACAGCCAGGCTCAGGCTCCTGAGGACGGATGGGTTTCCTGGTTATTCTGCTCTCCCCGGGAGCCCACGCACCTGAATGGAGCCTCCAGAGAGGGTGCGGTTCACATCATAGCGGATGATGAAGTCGCCATCCACAACCGTGTCCTGTTGCTCTGCAGACTTCTGTTGTTGGGAGAGCGTCGGCTTGAATCGGATGTGAGCCTGGAGGAACGACCGAGTGGGCTGATGTCGGGGAGCAGCGAGGCAACGCTCACACCCCTCACCCCATCTGAGAATCACCCGGGATGAGAGCTCCCCCGTAGGTCAAATCCCAGGGAACTTTCTCTCAGGCTGGGCTGTCAGGTGGACGGCCTCAGTACAGTGGATGGGTGTGAGCGAGGAGCCTCTGCTCCGGAGCCGTGTGAGCAGAGCCTGGGCTCAGGATGTGTATGATCCAGCCTCCGCCTTTCCCCCAGGTCCTGGGACCCTAACGTCAGTGTCCTTTCCCAGTCGCTCCCTAACCTCAGGTTCAAGCCAGTACCCGCCGTCCTCCTCTAGGCCCTGCCCTCCTCATCCCCCTCATGTGAGTGCGGACACAGAGACCTCAGAAGTCTGCCAGCCGAGAGATTCTGCCCAATTGTCCCACTCTCTGGGGACCCAGGCTCACAGGGCAGCCTGAAGACAGGCCCCTCGGTACCCTCCCCTCCCACCCACGGTGGCAGGCCCACCTTGGTCTGGTTCTGTGAGACGGTGAGGGCGTCTGCAAGCTCATTGGTCATGAAGGTGCTCTCTGTCTCCAGAAAGCTGATGCCCTGAGGCTCAAAGATGTGAATGTCCATCTGGAAGAAGAAGGGGGTCACTGGGTTAGCCAGGAGCCAGGGCTGGGCCTCACAGGAGGCTGAGGGGACAGGGGGGCCACCCTTGGCTGCACAGGGGTCACCCAGGAGGCCTCCTGGGAGGAGGCAGTTCCAGGTACCTGCAGGTGCTTGACCAGCTGCTGGGGCTGCACCTTCAGCAGCAGCTCATACACTCCCAGGCGCCGCTTGAGCAACTCCTCGTACACCAGCTCGAAGGTGACCTTGGCAGCAGGGGCTACACTGACCGACACCTGGAACTGCTCCATCTTTCTCCCAGTGGCCCTGGGGGAGGAGGGCATCAGGCCTGCCCCTCCAGTCCAGGTAGGGTATGGACACTGGAGGCAGGAGCAGAACTAAAGGCAGGGGCACCTTCTGCTCCACCCCCACTGGGGTCTCCCGCACACCCTTGGGCTCACTTGACGAGGCCAGCGCTCTCCCCCCTGGCCACAGCTGCACTGTACTGCTTCTGGGCTGCATCCTTCTGCTTGATGTTCCCTGGGTACATCACACCGTCGATGATCCTGGGGCAAGAGGGTGGGTGCTGTCAAGAGTCTGGTGGGGGGGGGGGGGGAGGCTCTCTCCAATCCCACCTCCTCCAGGGAGCCTCTCAGGGACTTACTGTGCCTCCTGATAGAGTGACTCCTACCTGGACTGGACCTAACCCATTTATTATGCACCGACTGTGTACAAGACTGTGCAGGACCCAGGGTAAGGGCCAGCAGCCTCTGCAAGGTGTGCCAGGCCTCCATCGACCCCAAGGCATACACAATGGAAATGAACATTCGTTTTACTGAAGGGACAGGAGAGGAAGGTTGCAGAGGAGACAGGGCTGAGCTAAGTCCTGGCCTGTCTTCTCCCTCCCACTCTGGCCCCACATTCCAATTGCCCCCTCCATCTCATAGACTGTCCCAGAGGAACCTGTCGACCAGCAGCACACGCTTTCTGAGCTGCGCTTGCACCCAGCCCTGTGCCAGCTGTGTGGGGCAGAATGAGGAGGAGGGAGATGCCAGGCTCCCAGGCCAGTGGGAGACACAGGGCAAATAGTCTTTGAACCCTCTTCCCACCAGCACAGGGCAGGGAGGAATGCAGAGGTGGGTGGAGGGAGGGGTGAAATGAGGAAGGGATGGAGGGACAGATGGAATTTGGAGGGAAGGAGGGAGGGATGGGGATGGAGGAAGAGATAGAAGGAGGGAGGTTGGAGGGATGAAAAGAGGAAGGAAGGGAGTGGGGGATGGTGGACCATTTCTAGGAGTAAATAAAGCCTCTGGTTCCTGTCCTGCCTGCAGGTGGAGTGCACACACCTCCTGTCAGGAGGAGGTCCTCTCCCCTGAGGGACACGGGGGAGGGGATGGCAGAGCTGGATGGGGAGGGGACGCGGAGGGGGCGGGAAGGCACCTACATGGAGAAGTTGGTGATGAAGGCTTTCTTGGGCAGCTCTATCTGGAAGGTGGCCTCCTGCATGGAATCCGCTCTGTTGACCACCCTGCTGGTGATGACCGTGTGGGCAAACCGAGAGGAGACCCTGGAGTCCACAGTGAGGCTGTAGATGTCGATGGCATTCTGGAGCAGTGAAGGAGGAGGGCTGGAGCTATTTCAACGCCAGCCCTACTTGGAGCCATGCTCTTCAAGAGCAGGCCTTGACCTAGGTCCCAAACCAAGCCCTGGCCCTACCCAGACTGAGCGATGGATGCCTCAGGCAAAACCCCGTGAGGCATTTCACCTGTGGATCTTTCTCTCAAATAAGAGGCAGCTCTGTGCTCCATTCCGCACCCTACAGAGCCAGGGGGCAGGGACCAGTCTGCCAAACACGGGATGGAAGGTGGAGCCTGAGCCCCAGTGTGTCTGGGAGGGGACGCTCACTTTTCCAGGCCCCGATTGGGATCCGGAAGCTCAAGGTCTTAGCTCTGAACAGTGTCAGGGCAGCAAACAAGTCCTTTGATTTCAGGGGCCTCCAGGAGCTGGGAGAATCTGGAGATGACCAGGGTCCAGTCCCTAAGAGCTGGGAGGCTTCTCCTTTGCCCCCTTTCCCTGCAGCCGTGGGCCCCACCCCCCAGCTGCCCTGCCCTGCAGCCCAGGCCCTGGCCCTGCAGAGACGGTCAGTCCCCACAGGTCACTGACCCAGGCGCCTGACCTTCCACCCAGGTCTAAGGTTCGCATGTGCACACATGAGAAGCCTTACAATCGCCATCCTGCATACGACACACTTGTGTACATGCCAGCTCTGTTCACCTGCACATGCAGCCTAGCAGAGGTGGGCGCCTGGCTGAGCGGCTTGTTACACACGTGAGTGTCTGCTCTGTGCCAGGCACTGTACTAAGCACTTCATAGTGTTACAGGTTCCATCTTCACAACAAACCTCCGAATAGGGTCTATTATTACCCTGCTTCACAGATGAAGAAAGGGAGACAGAAGAAGCATCATTACGTTGAGGATGTTCAGCGAGGGAGAGCGAGAGCTGGGCTCATGATCCTCACTCCCACCCTCCCCCACTGCCGGCCTCCAGGGGCAACCTTCTAGGCTGCAATTCCTCACCTGGAACATGGAATAGGATCACCCCTTCTAGCAAAGGGGGTTGGGGTGTGGGGAGAGGCATCAAGCCCTTGGGACGTATCTGGTGGATGGTCAGCACCATTTTTTTGCACACACACTGATCTGTGCTCACCTGCACGCTCACACACACACAGGCTCTCACTCACCAGCTCATACCACTCACACTCCAGTGCACACACAGGTGCCTGAGTCACCCGCTACCTTTTGGGCACTGGTGGTCTGGAGGACAGCCAGCAGCGAGAGCAGGACCAGCACGATGCCACAAGCACGGGCAGGGCCTGGGGGCTTCATTTGGCTCCAGTGCCTGGCAGGCTGCTTCTGAACTTGAGAGGAAGTGGGGAATGAATTAGTAACCTCCTTGCTGCTCCGCCCCTCCAGGGGCAGGTTCCAGTTGCAGTGGACTCAGATAAGTGAATGTCCTGTGGACCTTGGCTGAGGACAGACACATGCACAATAAGTCCTCAGTGTCATCAGGATAGGTTCTTGGAAACGGCAACTTTAAGTGAAATGATGTTCACCTTAGAAATGAGTTCACGTCCTGAGGCCTATTTCTGGTCACAAAAACATCACCAAACTTCTAGATAAAAATCCAAAATGTTGAAATCAGTGTGAGCTACACTTATATTTAAGAAAGATTCATAAAACCAAGTGAGATCATGCTTTTCCAACTTGCTTATTCCAGTTTAGGGGTTCAGATGCCCAAAGCCTCTCCCAGCAGTTCAGGGTGTAAAAGGTGAGACCCCAACCTGGACAGGACACCCCTCCATCGAAGGTCACACTGACACACACCCACACTAGACTGGAACGATGGAGACACACTGGTTCATCTCACGTGCACATCTTGGGGATGTGGGAGGAAACCATGGAGAAAACCCACAAAGACACGGGGAGGCCAATAAACTCCACACAGTGGCCCCCACTAGGAATTGACATTTTTCCTCATCAACATGATAACCTAAAGAGGCTGAATAAAACGACATTATTCCAGGACCTGCTATACTGAGGAAAGGCAGGCTCAGGTGGGAGCTAGGTACTGGCATGCCTTCTGAAAGGTCTAGAACCTTCCCAGGTCAGCATTACCCTTTACACCAGTCGGTCCACCAACAAGCGCCCTGGGGCCTGGGGACACAACAGTGAACCAGCCCACTCTCCATCAGCCCAGCCTGGAGGAGACAGAGGAGTGGCTGAGAAGAGGAGGGCGGGGGCAGCTTCAGGGAGGAAGGGGCCTGCAGGCCAGGTTGGTGTGACTGGGCAGTGGGGCCCTACAGGCCCTGAGCACTCCTTGGGGTGTCTGAGTGGGGCAAGATCTGCTGGGGTCAAGGCCGGGTGGATCTGCCTTATTTCTGGGGTGAGAGAGGCTGGGCCCAGGAGACCCTTCTCTCTCCTGGGGTCCCAGGCTGCTGTTCAGGACCCATTAATCTAGCCAGGGCTCTGGGTGCAACTCCAGCAAGGCCCCCAACACAAGACCTGCACTTTGGCAACACAAACCGAGAGCCAAAAATATGCCACGCCTTGTGGCCCAGCAGCCTCCCTCTGTGGAATTTACTGAATGTGTGGAACAAACAAGAAGGGACAGAGCTCCTCCAGGGGGCGATTCCCTGTGGTGGCCTGTACACACAGGTGACCTGCATGGAGGTCAGTCACTGAAGGGGAAAGGGCAAATGGCTGTTCCGTCAGCACACCAAGGCAGTGCCCTTGTCACCAGCCCAGACCCACGGAGGGTGGCCCCAGGCCTGGGGTAGGATTACTGATGACTTTAGATTTTCCTTTAATAAAGTTGAAATGATTTCTTTTTAATTGGTTTTAGAGTAAGGGAGGCAGGGAGAGGGAGAGGGAGGGGGAGAGAGAAAGGAAGAGAGAAAGAGACATGGATGTGAGAGAGAAACATGTACCGGCTGCCTCCTGCAGGCACCCGCACCGGGGATCAAACCCCCCACCTTTTGACGACTCTCCAACCAACTGAGCCATACCAGCCAGGGCTAAAGTGGAAAAGTCTTAAAACAAACAGCAATAAAATGAATAAATAACAGGATCCCGACGCTGCTGGTGCGTGTCCCGGTGGCTCGGGGAAAGCCTAGCCCCTGGACCAGTGGCCACAGACGGGGTAAAGATGCTGCAGACAAGCGTGGCGGGTGCCACATCCCGGGCTGGGGAAGGACTCCTGACACTCGCCTGGGGAGGGAGAGGGGTAGTTATCTTGGGACCCTGGGCAGTGATGGGTCTGCAGAGGGCTGGGAGGGTCTCCTCCATCAGCCCTGCGGTGGCCCTGGGGGAAGGGCATCCTGGACTTTGGAGCTGCCTGCGGCTGCTCCCCTTCCTTCTGGGGACTCCAGCCAGAAGCCTCATCTCTGTGCATAACGACACAGCTCGCCCTTTGGCTCTGATTGGCATCCCACAGGGGGACATACCGCCATCGACACGCTGGGGGAAGAGCCTCCCAAAGGAGCCCAGTGAGCTGGCCCAGGCCCTGTCCCCACAGAAGGTCTGCTCCCTCAGGGCGGAGAACACAGGCCCAGCCTGGAAACAGCTATATAAGGAGGCCAGGCTAGGCCGGGACATGGGAAAGGCTCAGAGCAGCCAGCTCCACCTGCCCAGGGGACAGGCAGGGCTTCCCTACGGGCACAGTCCTCAGCCAAGCATGGGAGCCAGGCCCTGCCAGCCCAGCCCTGGGCTGTCCGTGTTCTTGCTGCCACAGCTGGACAGGCCTCTGTACTTCCTGAATCTGAGAGCTCCATGCACACAGGGGACACTGAGGCCTGAAGAGGAAAGGATCTCACCCAAACCCAGAACCAAGACTTCCCAGGCCTCAGGCAGAGCTGTGGGAGGGACAAGGGGAGGTTCACCTGGAGTTGGGAGGGGGAGCAGCTCAGGAAGCAGCCTGCCACTGGCCACAGGAGCCTTGACGTGGCTTTGTCTGTGATGGATGCAAGATGGTGAGCAGGCTGAACTAGGGTGCAGAGGGAGGCGGCCTGCAAGGTCCCTGTCTCTTGCAGAGCCTTGGGTCCTGAACAGCCTCTCACTGGCTTCTGTGGAAGGCAGGGGGAGGGGCAGCCCAGGCCCACCTGCTTCACTCTGTACACGTGGCCTGTTTTGTGCCCTGGGCCTCAGCTCACCTCCCTTGTCACATACAAGGGGAAACTGAGCCTCAGAAGAGGGGAGATGGTCTGAGGTCACACAGATCAGCACCAGGTCTCCACACCCCAGGCTCTTGCGAGGATGGGGCAGTGGCAATAGCACCTCAGGATCATAAGGACCCTCCCAAAGACATGGGGGGTACAGACCATGCCCACCCGCACGCAGGGGCCATGCCAGTTCCCAAGGACACTCTCCAAATGCCAGGGCCGCCTGGGCATCCTCTTTATTGGTGTTTCCCAGGGCCTGGCGCAGAGGGCCTGGGCTGAGAGGCCAGAGTGAGGGGGGAGGGGTGGCAGTCCCAGAGGCAACAGGGGAGCAGGGGAGTGCTGGCATGAAAGAGTTCTTGGGAAAGACTCCTGTGTCTAGGTGTTGTCAGTGCCCAGGGGGTGGCGTGGCGTGTACTTCTCAGCCAAAGACACTCTTGGCAGGCCCAGCTTTCGGCTTATCAAAGACGGTCTCAGTGCCGGTCCGGGTGCGGCTGAACACAGATGGTGCGGCAACGCCGGCTTGCTCTGCGGGCAGGATGGGGAGGTCAGAGGCCCAGCCCAGCCTCCTGGCGAGGGAAAGCCTCTTTTGTGGGGAGCCCCTGAGCTCTGGATTCTTACAAAAGATCCATAGGAGTCCCCATCCTATCCCCTCCTACTGACACACATCTGCACCCCCTCGGCCCCCAGTCCCCTGAGAACACTCACCACACTCCTGCATGACCTGGTAGGTCTTGGACTTGATCGCCTGGTTATTGGTCAGGTTCCCTCGGGCCCCCTTCAGGTCCTCCTCCTTCACAGGGGGGCGCTTCTTCTTGATGGGGGCTCCCTCGGGGCCAGCCTTGGAGACACCAGAGCCTCTTAGAACCCAGGCCTTCAGGCCGAGACCCCTTCGTTCCCACCTCTCCCTGCTCACTCAATTCAAGCCAGTCCAAGGCCCCATTCATCCAGGAAACCTTCCAGACGATGCATCACCCCCTGACCCCCAACCCTGAGTCTCTTTGTCCTTTTCCACAGACTGGGAGCCGTGGCCTCACACTGTCTGCCTGGCTGTCCAAGCTCATGCTTGGGCAGTGGGCAAAGGGGAAAGGCATTCGCTCTGAGGCTGAATTCCAGGCTTTCGGTGAATACCAAGACCTGCTCTCCGGGTGGTGGCAGGGGGTCCCTTAGGTTTGCCCCCCTCCTCCCAAACTGCCAGGATTTACCTTGTGGGCTCTGGGGTGGGAACGGGGTAGAGGAATCAGATGCCCATGAAGTCACATTCCCGTCAGCATCTACCCATGGAGCAGACTGGTCTGTCTGTCCCTCCAGAGCTGGGACACCCAGACTCAGTGTCTACCCTCCCTCAACCCCAGGTGCCTGGGAGTCTGAGGCCTTCCTCCTTCCTAAGCCCTAGGGGCAGGTGCAGACTCCCTGGTCCCTGAGCCTGGGCTGGGCTCCTGGGCAACACAGTATACCCTACAGACACACATACTGCTGGAGACACCCAGGCAGAGTGTACACCCACAGATCCAGCCTCACATGTACACACACACACACACACACACAGCTATAAACGTGCACAAACTGCCAGTTCCGAGAGCAGCTTCCTCACACACAAGATCTAGAAGAACCACCCATTTTCCCTACCCCTCCTAACAAGCCACGGAATGCCATAAACCCCAGCTGAACAGGGTCCCTCAGATAAGGTGGGCGGGGACTCCCCACCTCCCAGGGGCTGCAGAGCTCCTGTGTTTATGCCTGGAGCTCAGCTCAAGACACAGCTGCCAGAGATGACGGTGTCCAGCTGTCCACCCCCCACCCCCAACCCCCACCGCACCAACACACCATGCTGGGCCCTCCTACCTGGGACATGGTGGGTGCTGAGTGAGAGCTGCTCTGAAGGCTCCTCTCTGGCAGCAGTAGCTGGTGGGAGAGATCTGGGTGCCCAGCCCTCCGGAGCTTATATAGTCCACTTGCCCGTCCTGGGAAGTCACTCCCCCTGCTCCGACCGGCTCCCCGACCCCGATGATTCAGGTCCACACAGCCACTGGCTTCAGAGTTTATTCTCGGAGATGATAGGGGATCGCTGAGCACTTCTGCCCAGGGGGCTGCGGCCCTGGTGACAGACAGCTGGGGAGCCTGCACCCTCAGAGACAGCTGCTCTACTTCCAAGCAGGAGGTGCTGGGACT